CAAGGTTTCCAGCAGAGCCTGGCTGGGAGTTGATCCTGGTTATTATGATTATTGATACCCTTGGGGATTAACATCTTATTCCCATTTAGCTTTTTCCCAAAAGGATTCTAGGGTGTATATTTTCCCACCTTCTCTTTCACCAGCTACTTCAAAATCTGTTGTCAGGCTGTAGCACTTTCTTAAGTGTGTACACACTTCCTTAAGTGTGTACTAAGAAAGAGGCAAGGGAGGGAAAGAAAACATTTTGGGTTTTGAAAAGCTGATTTTCCTCCTGGAGGTGACAATACTCCCAGTTAGGTGGTGAGAACATAGGAATGGCAGATCCTGAACCTATATCTCTTTCTGACTAAACCACTTAGTATCTATGAGGCCTTGAGCACATCACTTTACCATTCCGGGTCTCAGTCTTCCCGCCTATAAAATGGAAAGATCTGCCTTGCCTTTGGACACGGCCTCTTTGAAACAGTTTTTTCTAAGGCATCAGTGCTGAAGGCATCCTTTCCAATGTTAATAAAAGCAAAACAGGATAATGTATAAACATAAGGTGATATTTTAATTTATAGGGAAGGTGTGTAATCATATGTCAAGGGCAGTCTGCCCTGCAGAATGCGTCCAGTGGTGCTGCTTTATGTACTTGAGAATTCTCCCTCCACTGGCCTCATGCAGGCCTTCTGGAGGTGATTTTATGTTTTAAATATCTATTGCATTTGTGAGTGGAAGGAGCTTTAAAGTGATTTTCATCAAAATAATCTAAAGCCAAACAGCTGGTGTGCTTCATCAGACCACATCTGTACTTTTAATTTATGTTAATTAATCAGTTGAACTGGATAATGCTGTGGCTTTAATCACTGGGAGATTAATCAGCTTGTCCCCGAGCAAACTGACTTCTGGAGTGCCCGGATGTTACCATTAATGTCAATTCAGAAAAACATTTCTAGGATGAGGCATAGTTCTTAAGGGAAACAATGCCTTTAACCCCTGTCTGCTGTGTTGAAAGTGGCTGAATGAGAGCAGGTCCCAGCTGGAGTTGCACCTGGACAGTGGTCTCCCACAGACGTGGACATAGTGTTTTTATTTCCCCCAATGTGTGCTTGTCAAGATGAAGGCTCTCTGGGCAGTGTGGCCCTTTAAGAGGAAGGGGCTTCTGATGTTGATTTGCACAACAAACACCAGATTCTTGACATTTTTACAACCATCCTTCCTGTGCAGCAGCCCAATCTGGGTGAGACATCATTAAAAGGTGGTTTTCCTGGTGCTGTGACCCTGAAGTCATGACCAGGGTGAGCCTGTGGCTGCATGTGGCCACAGCACTCAGTGGCACCTGCGTTCTGAGCTCAGTGCCACGGAAGGAAGCGTGTGTCCTTCATGTGCCTTCTCACTCTGCCCATTGCAGGGGATAAGTGGGAGACAGCTCTGGGTAGACACTGTTTCTAGTCACTAGGATGGTTCAGCCTTTCCTTACTGTTTAGTTTTTAAAAAGCCTTCAGGCAGTGCTTGCCCCGGCCGTCTTTTGGTTTTATATGAATAGAAATGAGCTTGGAGGACACCTTCCTCCCATTACTCTGTATATGTCCTGAGGAGGAACTCACTGAGATCCAGCCTGATTTGGTCTCCCCAGTAGTTTCCAAATCAGGAAGCAGACATCTTGGTGAATGTTTGTAAATACCTTCATTGCTTTTGTCTAATTGCATGAGTAGACTGTCATGTGCTCTTTGTAAAAAATTCCAAAATTACTAAAATGTGTAATGTGAGAAGTGAAGTCTTCTCTGCCTGCCAGCCTCCCAGGTGACTGGTGTGGCAACGCTGGAGGCTCTTTCCCTGTGTTTCCACACGTGTGCCAACTCGCTCATCAGCGAGTGCAGTGGGAGAGGCAGTAATCACAAGCCGTTACGAGTGGGCTCTGGAGACAGAGCTGGGGGACTGCTCAGTTTCCCCTTCTGGAAAATGTGGGTGATACCACGACTCGATCTCATGGGTTGTTCTGGAGACTCGCTGAGATCATATGCAAAGCATTCCTGGGTCAGCACACAGAACTTAATACATGTTCACAAAGGCAGTGAGGTTCCCTCTGCTTTAACCCCTACACAATAGCAGTGTGGAGTGCATGCTGCATAAGTGGTGGGCGTTATTTTTTTATGTGAACATAAGGGCTTTCATCACGATCCTTGCTGACGTCCTGCTTTCTCCCTGGCACAGGCTGTCTTTTCCTCCGTGTTTTACTTTGCCTCCGTTCCTAGTGGGCGTTATTTTTTTATGTGAACATAAGGGCTTTCATCACGATCCTTGCTGATGTCCTGCTTTCTCCCTGGCACAGGCTGTCTTTTCCTCCGTGTTTTACTTTGCCTCCGTTCCTCTCTATCAAGGATTCCTCATCATCGGGTAAGGAAATCCAGGCAAGGTATTAATTTTTTATGAAACCTCCATACAGTGCCACAGAAGAAAGAAGAGACATCTGTGTAGAGACTCTTCAGTCCCCAAGTCACCTTGTACCCCTGGCCCCAGTGAGGCAGGCCCAGCAATGCGGTTTAGCACCTTTTTGAATTAATAAGGTTTTGAATTGTCAAGATCTTGACCAAACTGAAGAAGTAGAGTCCAATACGTTTGTGGTTTATAGGACTTTGCCATTTGTGCCTGGTAACAAGAAAATACCCACCCCGGAGAGTCCAAGGTTATCAGATGATTTGTGAGAGAGAGAGATGGAACGTTTGCAGACTTTGTGATTCCACTGGGGTCTTAGGAGAAGGGACAGGGGATCTGGAAAGTGCCCTCCTGGCCATAGCTGAGCCCAAAGGAGGGCCATAGCCTGCTCTCAAGGATAATGGAGCATTCCTGCTGGAGGTCACAGTGATAGAGTGTCACTTGGACATTAGCCACTATCAAACCCATCCCCATTCCTGACCTGGAACTTCACGGTGTTCCATTTGGCCTTTCAGAGAATGTGCTCAGTGTTTGAATTTCACTGGTGGGTGGAGTCTGGTTACCAAATTCCCTAGATGTGGATGCACGCAGGGTCGACTTGGTTATGAAGACCCGGAAGGCACAGACCAGCTAGTCTCCAGGGAGAGTCTTACAAAGTCCACTTTCCATCTTATTCTGTTTTGCCAGTTAGTCTATCCTGAGAGCAGGCACTGGAATTCTGCCTGCTGCTATTGGAAAAACGGACTGTCCTTTGGTCCTGGAAGAGTGAAAGAATATGCTGAATATAGCCGGGGTGCCCTGAGCCACACTCCATGTGACCTTCCATAATCTGGCCCTCTGGGTCCTCATCTCCCCTGTTACCCTCAGATTCAGTCACATTGGCCTCCTCACTGTTCTGCCAACGTGACAGCCACACTCCACCTCAGGGCCTTTGCACCTGCTGTTTCCCTGCCCGGGATGCTCTTCCTCCCTGTATCGGCATGGCTGCCCTCGCCTCTGGTGGGCATTTATGCAGATGTCTTGTTCCCTGGCCAGCCTCTCTAATAAACACACACACACACACGTACATGTACATGCACATATCTTATTCCTCTGCCCCATTATACTTTCCCCCTTAGCAGTTATCTCTCATGCACGTAAGTTCACTTTATTTGTTCAGTGACTCACTAAATAGTATGGAGGCTCTCGAGGGCAGATGGTTTTGTCTGTTTTTCATCATGAATCTCTAGTGCTTAAAGCTGGCGCTGGCACATGACAGGCACTCAGTAAATACTAGTTGGAGGAATGCGTGGAAACTGGGCTGCAGAGGCTGGCATAGCGGTTGCTCCTGCTCCACTGGCTGGGTCTTACCTGTGGCGAGCATGACAGGCACTCAGTAAATACTAGTTGGAGGAATGCGTGGAAACGGGGCTGCAGAGGCTGGCATAGCGGTTGCTCCTGCTCCACTGGCTGGGTCTTACCTGTGGCGATGTTCTCTCCCAGGTACTCCACAATTTACACCATGTTTCCTGTATTTTCTCTGGTCCTGGACAAAGATGTTAAGTCGGAAGTTGCAATGCTGTATCCCGAGCTCTATAAGGATCTCCTCAAGGTTTTATTCACTCCTCTCTCCCTCCCTCTCTCCCTCCCTTTTCCCCCTCCTTCCCCTCCCTCCTATTTCTTTCCTCCCTCCCTCCTTTTTTCCTTTTAGTTGATTTCACACAGACCCTCCATATCTGAGTTGAACACCCTTGAACTGGTGGCTTTCTGACTTGTGGGGGAGGCATGGGAGTTTGCTTTTTCTTAAAACAGTAATATACGCACACATAAAGAATGTGAAAGTCGAGTAATATATAAACCAAAAACCAACCAACCAACGGCTTTTAAAAAGCCCCGGACAGCTCTGTATTGCAGCTGCAGCTGTGTCTGCTGCTAGAAACATTCCTGTGCACACTCCCAGAAAGTGTGCATGGTGCAAGTGTGTGCACACGTGTGTCTGATTTTGTTCATTTGTCTTCAAGGGACTTTAACTAAAGGGCAGATTTATTCCCATCTAATATCAATTCTCTTTCAAAAATGTAATTTCTCTACTGTACACAAATGTGTGTCAGCCATTTTTTGATGAAAATGGGCAGGTTGTTTCATCTGGTGGGAGAGTGATGTGTTAGAAGAGTGATGTGCAAGCCGGCGGCACACTGCTGGGCCACATGTGGTACCCTGTGCTAATCTCTCTCTGTCTCTCACTTAGGGCCGACCGTTGTCCTATAAGACATTCTTAATATGGGTTTTGATTAGCATCTATCAAGGTAAGGACAGGCAAAGCCATCTGTTTGACTTGTGCTCTGGTGTTGACCCAAGGGAGTCCCTTCACTGCCCGTAGGACATGGTGAATCTGAACTTAAAATAGCAGTGGGGGGGGGGGGGGGGGG